TGGCCATTGACCAATCTGAAATCAAAGTGGTGAGAGAGAACTTGAAAAGTCTTGTGTTTTCTTTTGTTGGTAGAAGCAACATTCATGTTCTTGGTGATTAGATTTACAGGAGCCAATGCTGACATTGGCTTATTAAAATTATAACATCTGACTTGTTTTCCTGCTAAATAAATCGGCCATCTTTCTTAGCAGAGTGAAACATTGGTGTATGCTTGGGCAGGGACAAGAATTTCAGAAAGCAGTTTTGGAAGATGGTGAGCCAGGCACATGCATTCACTGTTTTTCTCTCCCAAAGACCCATTGATACAATAAAGATAACATGCATAAAGGATAAATCAATGGTGATGGTGAAAACAAAAGAGTACCATCAGACTCACAAAGATTTTGACACAGTTCTCAAAGTTGTAAAGTAGATAGGACTGTGGAGGAATAAACTAGAGTAGAGAAAAATGCAGCCAGAACAGAAATGGAAAAGGCTACAGTGAGAGTTCCTGACATGGAGAGCACTCAGAGACTTCAAGCTTAGAATTTTCAAGTGTAGAGATCAGGAACTAACTATGGCAGTGATCAGAGTATTGGATCTACTGGGCCATTCTCTTTCTTCTGTGTATCTGGAGTAATTCCCTATAACAACAAGCTTTAGCTGATTTGTAAACATAATTGATTCTTAACCTGGTTAGGCCCCATGGTCTAAGTGTTTGGAATAGTAGAATGGTAGAGCAGATCCTAAAGTGACTGTGAACTTTTATTACCGACCTAGAGAAAGACATAAAAGACAGCTGTACTTAGGAGTGAAATACCCTAAAATAATACAACCCCAAAGCAAAATTCTCTTTATTTGATATTCAGTTTAAAATAAAGGTACTACCTTCTCTCAACACATATATCCTAAAAGGAAGCTTGATCGTCTGCTTCAAAGAAACTATAACAGTTGTCTATACTAAAACTATCTAATCATTCATTCATGAATTAGAAGGGAGAGGCAAGGGTCATCAGATTATTGAAGAAAACAGCATGAATGGGATGAAGTTGAAAAAATAGAGTAGCTTGACCCAAAAGGAACAAAAAAATTAAAAATAAAAAGAACAAAGAAGAGCTTTTAAAAAGTATCCTTAGAATTGACTTCCAGCCTCTTCCTGGGACATAGGAAACTGTATAAGGTCATAACTTTTCATGAAACTATCTGAGAAATGGGTCTCAGGGCAGCCACATAGCCCAATGTGTAAGGAAAGACACGCACCTCCAATGAGAAAGGATATGAGTACTGGTCACGAACGGCAGAGCACTGGAAGAAGTTAGGACCACTGAATAAGAAGATAAAATAATTCAACTAAAGCTTTTAACAAATAGTTATGGTCAAATGTGGGCTAGTATGAAACCCTAGCAATTATAAGGCAGTTCACACTTGCTACACAACTTCTGCATGGTCCTCCATTCCATATTCAGAAGGAAGGTTGTAGGCAGGGCAGTTAATCCAAGGTTTACATCTGGAAGAGGGGAGCAGATACTATTGCAGGAAAAGCATAGTCCTTCTCTAAGAACAAAAGCATTAAACTTCTTGTGGTTAGTTGAAAAATAGCCAAATGCATAATTATAATTAGAAACTCTAATACCCATCTCTCAGTAATTGATAGAACAGATAGAAAATTACCAAGAATAAAAGACTTCAAAAACACTCTCAAATTACCACTCCCCTGAACTCTACCAGAATATACTTTTTTCTCAAGTATACTTGGAACATTCTTTTAGACCATATTTGGTATCATAGAACTTGTTAACAAATACAAAATAATTGAAATCATACAAAGCATGTTCTCTCACCAAAACAGAAGTAAGCTAGAAATCACTAATTCAAAGATATCTAGCAAATTTCAAATACTTAGAAATTACCCAACATACCATATTAACTCATGAAACTGTTACATATGAACATGTGAAGGGATGCAAGCTTAGAGGAAAGTTAAACATTTGAAACTTGCATTAGGAAAGAAAGATCTTCAATCAATAATCAATAACATAAAACTAGAAAATAAATCAGAATGAAGGGGAAAAAATGAAGGATAGAATTCTCTGAAATTGAGAACAGAAAGAGTAGAGGATATCAATAAAACCAAAAGATAGTTGTTTGAAAAGATTATTAAAATAACCTATAGTCAGACTGAACAAGTTGAAAGAAAGCCAGCACAAATTACCAATATCAGGAATGGTAAGGAGAATCATTACAGATTCTACAGAAAGTAAGATGTTAATAAAGTAGTTATTTCAAAAAACAATATGGTAGCATGTCACAAGGACACTGGAGCCTATATAGTTACTATATATAAAATAATTATATATAGTAATGAATTATAAATCATTGAAAAATAAAGAAGAATCCATGATTCTTCACTGGTAATAGTTAAGGGAAAAGGTAGAAAGACTCTTGCTTAGAGAAGAAAGCTGAGTGCAACTAATAAATATGGAGGTTGTGCTGGAGTTGGGCATTATTTTGCAACTGTGTAGGAAAGATTGATTCCAGCAAAAATCACAGATAAATGCTAAATCTAGGAAGAACTTTAGATGAGAAGCAGGAGATGTGTGTGTGTGTGTGTGTGTGTATTTAGATTCACTTTTTTTTTTTTTTTTTTGGTGGGGATGGTGGGGATTGAACCCACTTTAACATCATTGCTTCCAGCTGTGACATCTTAGAAGGACACAATATCAAACACCCTCCATAGAGACATCATTTCCACGGTAGTATTTTTCCTTTTAGAATTTAAGTTGAGTTTTCTGAGGTATCTTCATATATTTAGTTTTTATCTGCCTGAGCCTAACCCCAACTTAATTCAGTTTTATTACAGAACTCAACCTATAACCAGTGAACTGTATTCCTTTAAACAGAAAAGTGAACTTGATATGTGTTGGAGGGATGATACCAGTGTGATTTCTAAGTCCTTGAATCTGATGAAGCCTATGGAAAATTATAGCCTCTCCAGTGACCCTTTTTTGGATTTGGATCTGCTCTTTTTATTTGAAAATCATTTCAGACTTACAGAAAATTTACAAGGAAAAGAATTCAGAGAACACCTATAGTTTTCATCCACATTTATCTTTTATTGACATATTAACCTGTTAGCTACTTAGAAATTATATTTAATTTTCTTTTCTACCACATTTGCAAGGATTTTTACCATTTTCAAAATTGAGGAAAATACATGTATATGTATTTTGAAGCCCATTCTCTCTTGGATCCCTATTTGTGGTTTTGCTACCACTGTTAGAGTTGAGGCAGCCTAATGTATTTGGGATGAAGGGTAATACTGCAGATTTTTATACTGGTGGAAGAATTCACAGACTAGTTTGTTGAAAGTATGTAGGTGTGGGTGTCAACCTAAATGCTTAAAAAGTCATTACGGTAAAGGTCTAGGAGGGATTACAGTAAGGGCTAAAGAAGATAAGTGGTGGTCCTTGATTAAGTTGTGTTCAGGGGTAGTTTTCTATTTACTGAACTTTAAAGTTGAGAAATGAGAAGAGTGTTTAGAAATGTGATACAACTGCTTAAGTTGGTGGATTTAGTGTTAAGGTTTTGTTTTAGTTAGCTTTTTTGCTGCTGTGACTAAATGACCTGACCAGAGCAATTGTAGAGGAAGAAAAGTTTATTTGGGGGCTCACCATTTCAGAGGTCTCAATCCACAGACAGCAGGCTCCATTCCTCAGGGCTTGAGGTGAGGCAGAACATCATGGTGGAAGAGTGTAGTGGAGGGAAGCAGCTCACATGATGATCAGAAATCAGGGAGAGACTCCACTTGGCAGATTCAAAGTATATACTCCAAAGTCACGCCTCCAATGCCCCACTTCCTCCAGCCACACCCTGCCTGCCTTCTGTTTCCAGTCAGTTAATCCATATCAGGGGATTAATTCAGTAATTGGGTTAAGGCTGTCACAACCCAATCATTTCTCCTCTGAACTTTTTGCATTATCTCACAAGTGAGCTTTTGGGGGAAACCTCACATTCAAACTATAACAGGTCCAAACTGTGTATTTTGGTCAATTATCCAATTTTCTTTTTTCTCTGTAAAAATAGGAGGTATGCAGAGAGTTGAGGATCTTTTTCTTATTGGGTCACCGTTCACAAAATTAAATTCCTTTGTAAAATATAAAACATATTGTGTTAAGATCTAAGTGTGTTTCTCTGTGCTTGAGGACCTCCTAAGTTGTAATCAACCCTAGACTGTCAAGAATGTAAGAGGCCCTCATTTTTTCAGAGTAGGAAGATATAAAAGGATTTTATGATTACAAAAATAGAGGTTCCAAAAACTGATATAAACACAACATTCCGGGATATAAACAGAAATTTTAATCATTAAAAATCTAAAGCAAACACTTAAAGGCAATTAAATATTCTGTAATGGGATTGGGATATGAAGGTAGCAGATAAAATGTGGAATCTTCCTATAATTCACATCTATGGAGTTAAATTTTATATAGGCATGACTTTGGACTGTCAACATGTAAGAATGCTCATGACATAATATTGAAAATTCAGAACACATATTTCCTATAGCCTGTGATTCTCACTAAAACTATTTGTATTAAAAGCAAGATGAAAGTTCATGGAAACTACTAATATTTATGAACTGTATTATAGTAATTAAAATGCAAGTAATTTTTCCTGTTCTACATTTTGTATTTTCAGTAATGTTCTTATATAGTATTTATGGCTGAAAAGAAATTAACCACTCTCTTTTTAAGTGAAGCCTGAATTTTGAGATCTTATCCAAGTTTCTTGTTCATCAGTCCAGAAATTATGGATAGAGATTTTTAGACCCCCTGCTAGGTTCTTGCTAGGGGCTAGACTTAGGTGAAAATTGCAGACATCTATGCCCAGCCTGCTTTGCCTTCTCATTCTTTTTATTTCGCTCTCACTGTCAGGGGACTGGACTCTACCTGTGTGGTTGTGGTTGCATAGTCCTATCTGCAGTGTTATATCTGGACTTGTCTCCCTTCATTTCTCTTTCTAGGAAGCGCATTTTCAACTGAGCACCTCAAGCTTCAGCTCCAGAAGGAATCCCTAAATGAGTTGAGGAAAGAGTGCACTGCAAAAAGGTAAATTCAACACTGAGAAAAATTGCTATGAGGGTTGAGTTTATCAGAGATATGACACTGTTCTAAATTCCCTGGGCCACAGTACCATGGCATAATATTTGAATCTTCTTCCTGTCATCTATATACAGCTTAGCTTGTAGTTTTTTTCTTTAATAGTTTCTTCTGTCCCACTCCTGCTTCTTGATAATTCATTTGGTTTACCTCAGCAGCACTTTGAAAATTTCTCTACCCTTGATTTCTCTACCTTTATAGTCATCCCTCCATGATGCTCTCAGACTTCTCTTCTTAAAATACTATTTTTAACATATTTTTTTCTTCTTTCTATAGTGAATCTTTTCCTCATTTTTCACATAGGCTTCAGTCACTTGTCATTATACAACTACAGTTAATTTTAGGTGCTCCCTAACATAGAAAGATGCTAATAGTTTTTCCCAACATATTTCATGATTAATTCATTGCCACCTCACTTCCTTTGTTCATCTTGACTCACTTTCCTGGAGTCTTTCCATCCTGCACTTTTCTCTGAAAAACCTTAACAATTGAATATTCAAGAATATTAAGACCAGGAAAGAAACATAGAGACCATCTATCCTAATCCTCAAATTTGCAGAGAGGAAAGCAACTCTGGGAACTGACCTGTCCAGCTCACTAGCAAAGCCAGAACTAGATCCCATTACATCTTCAGTGCTGTTTATATAAGAGGAGAAACAGTTCTTTTCCTACTCTCACATATAACATTTAATGCCAGATTCTCCAGCAAATGCCAACAGGTATCCTATGATTTAATACCATTCTTATACTATCTGCCTGAAGATGTAATTATCTATACTCAGTTCCCAAGACCCCCCCACCCCGCAATTAGATACTAATCACAAGACCCAGACTGTGACCTGTGATTCTAAATTAACTGGGTTCCCACAGACCCCTCCTCTGGTTTGATTAATTTGTAATTTACTAGAGTGGCTCACAGAACTCAGGGAAACACTTAGGTTTACTGATTTGTTATAAAGGTTATTACAGATGATACAAATGAACAGGCAGATAGGAGAGAGGCATTGGGCAAGGTATGAGGGAAGTTCTATGCCTACTCTGGTATGCCATTCCTCAGGGTACTTCCACAATTTAGAAACTTATCATATCTTGCTCAAAAGTTTTAAAGCACTCAATTTCCAGCCTTGATCTCCTTCATCATCATCTTAAGAGATTGGTGCGTAGGACTGAAAATTCCAGCCCCCTAATTAATTGATCTTTTTAGTGACCAGTTCTATCCTTAGGTGACCCTAAGTCACCTCATTGTCATAAGCTTAGGTATGATCAGTGTGGGCTTAAATGAATAACAAAACAATACTCCTATCACTTAGGAAATTCCTAGGGTTTTAGGTGTTCTATGATTGGGACCTAGAACAAAGGCTATATGTATTTCATACTATATCAAAGTGTTCCTCACCTTTTCCATTCTATACCTTTTCCATTTCACTTTGACCTATAGTTTCTTCTACATTATTTTGGTTCTTAAATTTTTGATGTCTTTTAATTGAGCAGGTAATTTATTCTATGAGTATTTTATGTTGGTCATATTTGTGTGTGTGTATGTGCATGTGTGTGTGTTTTTTGCTGGAGGTGGATCCCAAGGTCTCCTACATGCAAGCACTCTAGCATTGAACTACCTCCCCAGCCCTGCTGGTCATATTTCTTAGTTAAAGAAAATTGCTGGGTCATTCATGCTACAGCTGTTTGCTTATTTGTTCTTTGTTACTTTTCTAACATTGTAATAGGATGAAGAATAGTTTCTGTTCTTGTTGTTGTTGTTTGTTTTCTGAGAAGCACCATATGGATCTTTCCTGAAATCAATTGGCCTCATTAAATAATGTCTACAAAACCTTGCTCAGTTTACTCAGCCCCTTTAAACCTTGTTTCCTTATTTATAAATGGGCATCATAATATCAACCTACTAAAGTTGTTGAAATAATTAAATAAAGCCATTTGTATAGCTCTAGGTACTCAGTGAATTGTTATTTGTGCACTTTACATTCCTTAGCATGGTGCTAGGCATACACTATAGCCCTCATTTTGTAGTTAGCTTAATTGATATTAGAGAGAGTTCAGGGTATTATTTGTACCTCTACTTTTTAATTTTCTGTGGCCTATAGACCATTTAATCTTTTTCTGCATTAACTGTGTAGAATAAATGTTAAAAAAGCATGCATACATGTTTTTTTTAATGTTTCTGGTACATATTATACAGAATAGTATATTTTATTGTGATATATTGGTACATGCACATAATGTAATTTGAGTAATTTCATTTGCCAGTCCCTCTCCTTGCCCTCCCCTCCAACCTCCTCCTAATTCTCTTCCTCTATCTTCATGGTCTCCGTTCTGTCTTTTTGAAATCCCTTTTTTTCTCTCTAGCCTACACATACAAGAGAAAACATGAGCCTAGTTTATTTTGCTCAACATGATGCTCTTTAGATTCATCTGTTTTGCTGCAAATAACTTCATTCTCCTCTTCCTCCTCCTCTTTAAGACGAATAAACTCCATTGTGTTATATATTCCCACATTTTCTTTATCCTTTCATCTATTGACAGACACCTGGGTTGGTTCTGTAACTTGTCTATTGTGAATTGCAATCACATTTTCTAATAAGTACTTGTTTTCTTTCCTCATTAGAGAACTCTTTCTGAAGACTAATGCTCAGTTGACAATTCGTTGTAGGCAGTTACTTTCTGAGCTTTCCTACATTTACCCTATTGATTTGGTAAGTTTCATATTTTCTGAAAAGATTTATCTTTTTGAAAAGATGATCTCCATTTGAAGTTTGCTCTCAATGAAAAGCTCATTAGTCTTAATCCCATATGCTCCCTTATGGCTCATTCAGGAGCTAGTATCTGTTTTAAATGTAAATTAATACTTAGTTGGCATTAGCATCCGCTGTTTAATTTTTTTTAAATATCATTTTGGTTGTGAGATGGGATTCATCATAGAAAAATGCCTTTTTGTTTCTTTATACTCTTTTTAGTTAACCAGATTATCCACTACTACCATTTCTGTTATCTACCTACAGATGCATGTACAGTGCCTCAAAAATATAATTGCTAATTCATTTATATTTATTGGTGTTCATTAAGATATTCCTGGGGTGACTGTCTGGATGTTACATTTTTAATTAGCTTCTTAAATTATTTTATCTAAAACTAATTAGATAAGTTGTGCTGAGGATCGAACCCAGCGCCTTACATGTGTTGAGCGAGCACTCCACTGCTGAGCCACAACCCCAGCCCCAGATTCCTTTTTTGTAAAACTGGATTTTTTAGATTTGATAGTTCTCAATGAAAATTGATGTAAAAGACTAATTTTCAGAGAAAACGACAAACAGGATTTGAACTTGCTCACAGAATCTTGTTAAATCATTTATAGATAAGAATCAGTTGGAAAATATTTTTATGATAATAATATTTCATGGTTTTCCCTAGACATGATGTCTTAAACATTTTTATTATAGAAAATTTTAAGTATGTATAACTAGGGGCTGGGGATGTGGCTCAAGCGGTAGCGCGCTTGCCTGGCATGCGTGCGGCCCAAGTTCGATCCTCAGCATCACATACAAAACAAAGATGTTGTGTCTGCCGATAACTAAAAAAAATAAATAAATATTAAAAATTCTCTCTCTTTCTCTCTCCCTCTCTCACTCTCTCTTTAAAAAAAAAGTATGTATAACTACAGGAAGATAGAATATTGAATCATCATGTCTCATCACCCTGTTTCAACAAATATAATAATATTTAGAGTCTAAGACTGCATTATATCTAAGTCAACTGTGACCTGCTAAAGTTTCTTTGCTTTATATATAAAAAAATTAATTTCATTTTTTGGTTAAATTCACAGAATGAGCATAAGGATTATTTTGTATGCGGTGTCAAGTTACCTAATTCTGAGGATTTCCAAGGTACTTTATTTCTATTTTACTTCTAAAGATTTGGTGTATATAATATATGAGGATAGAGATATCTTGAAATGTTGTTTGCTTGGCCCTTTGTCCATAAGTGTTTTTGCACCTTCTGTCTCCTCCCACTTAGAAGAATGTAGGTCATATTCACTAATAGAAGATATAACAGAATATTTGGTTTAATTTTGGAAAACTAATTATTGTAACTTGCATTTGAAATTTAAAACAAATCATTTTTAAATGAGCTTTAAGCAAATCAGGGAATTGGGTTCTTAAGAATACAAATAATCTCCCTACCCTGTTGATTTGATTTTCATGAAAAATTGTATGTGGTTGGCAGCAGAAGAAAAGCAAACATTTATCTGTACTTCTTTTTTTTTTTTTACAAAGCTCTGTTCTACTAACCTGAAAAGTATTACAAATTTAATTTTGTGACATTCCTGCTATCATAGGTTTAACTTGTTGTACTATCATTTCTCTCCTTTTACACACAGGTGTTATGGAATATGATTTACAATAATTCCTACATTTTAAAATCTTTTCTGTTTTCTAATCTCCCCAACTATGCCAAGGAAAAAAGATTCTCAAAATGGTTTCTTTTCCCTTAGTATAAATGATGCCTTGAGACCTACTAAATATCTTTATAAATTATTCTCAGAGCTAACATATTAAACCTGTTTGGGTAGTTAGTTATAAAAGAAGGGAGCCTTACTAGTTTTGATCAGGATTTTCTTCCATTTCCCTTTAAAGACACTATTAATATTTGTGGTCCTTGAACATTGAAGACTGTTTTAATTTATTATCCTCTTCAGCCTTTACAAGAGGTAGTTGGGTCATGATGTAAAGAGAGTGGTAATCCAAGAGTTGGAAAACCTTTGTTCAACTCCTGATTCCCCTTCCATGAAACCATGTAGTTTGGAGGAAATCATGTATGTAACCTTTGAGTTGATTTCCTAATCAATGGTATGAGGATATTATATCCTACCTGTCTTACATATTTGTAAAAATTGAGATATACCAGTATTTGTAAAAGCATGAGATTTTGTTTTATATTAATCCTCACAAAACCAAAGGAAGCCTATAAGGAAAGTGGTATTCAGTGACTTGTTCAAGATTACAGAGCTAGGTGGTGATAGAGCTAAGATTTATCTGGTTGCCATTGTTGCCTTCAGATTTCTATAGGTCCCACAAAATGTGCTTTGGTATTAATTTTGGGCACAGTTGTGGCTTCTTGAAGCTATTGGCACATCATTTTCCTCATTCATTCATTGAAAAAATAATTTGTTGAACACCTATATGGCAGGCACTGTGCTGAATTTTGAGGATATAATAATGAAAAAGCAAATCTCTCCTTTCATGGAGCATACAGCCTATTGAAACAGACCAATGAATAGGAAAATAAGAATTAATAAGCATTTAATCAAGGGATATATTATCTTAAAGAATGAAGAAACCCCCTTTAAATAAAGCAATCAGAGAAGACCTCTCTGAAGAGAAACATTTAACAGAAATCTTGAAGACTAAAAGGAGCCACTATACTACAGCTTGGGGTATTCCTAGAACAGAGAGCATTAAGTACAAAAGTCATGATGGAGGAGGCATGAGTTTGACATACCTGAAAAAGTTTGAAAAAGACCCCAGGCCACGGGTATGGGAGAAAAGATTTTCGTTTAGGTAAATCATGTAATCTCGCAGCTTAATTTCTTTACCTGTAAAATGAGGTCATGTTTATATTTTTAATCCATTGTGATGATGGGATGAGATCACATTAGAAAGAACTTCTCAGATAGGAGGTATGCAATAAATATAATGGAATTCATTGAAAAGTAGAGAGAAAGGAAAGGAATGAAGGAAAGATCAAACCATCTAGATCTATGTGGCCAGAACACAGTGAACAAGGCGAAGAGTTCTGTTAGCGCTGGAAGGAGGGGTCATCCAGGACCTGGAGGTCACACTAAAGAAGTTCCATTTTATTCTCAATGAAGTGGGCAATGCCTGCAGGTTTCAAGAAGGAGAATGATGTGAGCTGAGCAATGCTTGTAACAGTCATTCTGACTGTTAAATACAGAATTATTTGAAGAAGTAGTAAAAGTAGTAAGGGAAGCGGAAGAGCAGTAGTGGTGGTCTGTTAACTTTAATCTACTGGTGGTGGGGAGGGTCTTGGTTCTATTTTCCTTTTCTTTCAAGTGCCTTGTTTCCTAGTTTTTCATAGCTTTTATACTACATTTAGAATGCCTAATTAAGCCCATATACATTCTCCCTAACCTTTAAAAAATTAATGTAACCTTTTAATGCAGTTGCTGAAAAATGAAATGGGAGATAAAAATAAGTTTAATTTTTTGCTAAGGTCCTATTCATTCCCTATAACTTCTAGGAATCAGAAATTTTAAGAAGCATGTATAGTAGTACTGGACTTTAAAATTTTAATTTTAGCACTCTGCAAGACACTTCAATATGGGTAAATGTGTTGAGTGCCTGTTTCTTATCTGCTATGCAGGTGCTGAGAATAAACAAAGAAAATTAAGACATTGATCCAAAGTTAATGAGAATAATAGTCTTATTTGAGAGCATTATATTTGTAATCAAACCAGTCAAGAAATATTTACTGAATCCGTACTCTATGTTAGGCACTTAGAGGGTTATACCAGGTACTTGGGACTCAAAGAAATAGGAATAATCAATTCTACCAGGAGGGGATGAAGAAAACTTTATAGAGAAGACGATGCCTGAGCTATCTTAAGAAATAGCTGTTCCCCTGGGGAAAGAAGCATGGGAGGACATTTTAGGTTGGGTAAGCAGAAATGTGGTAACTTGGGACATCATGCATGATGTTTTCAAATTTATTACTTTAATCTCATAATTATGAGAATTAATGCCTCTGTGAAGAAAGGAATTACTCTAGATATTTTTTAAAGACAAGAACTTGGGGCCCAGAGAGATTGATTTTTACAAGGACTCATATTAACAGTGATAAAGCTAAGGTTAACACTAGTGTGCCTTATTCTAAGCTCTATATTATTCCTGCCATGGTGTCATTTCCTTCTTTGCTTTGAATAGTAACCTCTTCTAAGCCTCTGACAACTTTTTAGTATTCTATAGCAGCTGCATACTGGGAGACACTATAGTGAAGGAACTCCAAACTGGTGACTCCTGTGCTGTTCATGAGACTTTCCTGGATAGACTTTATACTGCATAGGTTGATACTATTTGGGAAACTACAACATAGGGGCCCAACACAGCATTCATTGTGCTTTTCCAGATGGGTAAGTTCTTGTTAGAGTATGACAAAGAGAACTGGACACAATGGAAGAAAACTGTGAAGGGTATTCATCTGAGTTCCATTGACTAAGACGTTTAGCTTAAAAAAAAAAAAAAAAAACAATGTTTTTGCGTGTGTTTTTAAGTAATCCATAACACGAGAGCCTTTTGTGGTAATGAGACCCAGATTTCCTTCTGTGTCTGTATCCCTTTATGCAGGCATGATTTCTTGGAAAGGAGAGTCCATATGTCAAACAGTGTCTCATTGAGAACATGGACTGATTCCATAGATGCTGTGGCAGTGATTAGAGTCTTAAATATTTTGTCCTGTCTGGATCAGTGGGTGCTTGGTTCCTTAACAAATCAGCTGCCTCAGTGATTGGGAAGGCAGGATGGTAAGAGCTTTTAGATCACTTATTGTACTTGGATGCATTTGAATATTAATAGTTTGTCCAACATATAAATCAAAGGAACATTTGAACTAATTTATGTTATGGCCATTGTGTGTTTGTAGGATTTATTGTCATAAAAATTACACAACAGCTGCAGCCTTGAGTGGCTTCCTATATTTAAAACACAAGTCAGAAATATTTATTATGGGGAAAGTGTGGGCTTTTGTTTTGTTTTTAAGTCCCTTAAAACATTGTTTGAATTAGTATCTTTTTCACATACCTGAGTCTTACAGTTCGTTCCTGTTCTTCCCCGGACCTTGATTCCCCCTCCAATTTCTTCTCACCGACAAAACTATCATCTGTGACCTTTCTAACCCTCAGAGCAGTATAAGAAATACAAACCTCTGCTCTGCATTAGGTGTTACGGACGTCATTAATGCTTACTGGAAAAGTACACCCAAGAGGGCCATGTTTTGGCTTTGGCAGGTAAAAAGTCTTTCAGATCTTGAAATGCTGGAAACCTTAAACCTTTTGGTTTTTTAGCTAAAGTGATTGGCAACAGAATGTGACATCTGAGGTTGCATGGCCTGCAATACCCATAATTAACCACATGAGCTCACATTTTCCCACAGGAGGCTCAGTGGTCTTGGGGTGATGAAAGTGACTTCCCTACCAGGAGGTGGTTTTCCTTTTGAGGGTATTGCAATACCCTTGAGTCCTGTAATGCTTCACCCATGGTCCTTTTAAAATGCTTTTTAATATAAAGCCTCAATATTGGAAATCCAACACCGCAATGTTTAACAGTGAGGCTGTGATGGAGCACTGTGGCCTGAAATGGGAAACAACCTAGGGTTTTTAATAGGTAGAGCGGGGAGTCTTGTGGCAACAATGGTGAGTGTGAATAACTTGAATCAAAGCAGATTTCCAATATTATTTCATTTTCATTGTTTGCTATTTCCTTTTGGGTTTTGATTTCTATGTGTAGCCTTCTCTTAGAGATGCCATTTTATCTTTAAAATTTTAAGCAAAGTTATTTTGTTAATTGGGGGAGGTAATTTTAAAAGAACACTTCTTTGTTCTTTTAAGAAAGATGTGTATGTAGTCTCAAAATATGCAAATGTGGTTCTTTAGCATTGTCCCTTTCGTAGTATGAGAAAAAAGTGTAGATGCTTGAGGGTTTAGCACTGGATAGATTTTTTTAAAACAATCGTAGTTTTCTTTTGACCTATGTGGAAGTCAGATGAAGAGGATTCTTGTTGCTTTCTGGAGGTTTTCAAATCCATTTCTGTCAGGTCATGTTGGAAAGGAAAAACACACATAGAAAAGTATAAAGCACACATAGAAAAGTCCCAATTTTGCATAATACTATCCTTCATTATTCTAAGTCCTCTTCTTCCTCTCTTCCTTCTAAAGAAGATTCTTAAAGATTCTTAAAGTCCTTTTACTCACAGAAATATTTTTAGTTTGGTAAGCTCTGTTCTTTACAGAAAGTAGGAAGCATGTTTCCGCAACCTGGGAAAGAACTCACAGTCCCAGCTGTGCCACCAGACCTAGGTATTTTTGGAGCAGAGATAGTCTGAGGTGTGGATGCAATTCTCCCACTTCCATCACTGTGATTTTTACCTATATGACTTTGACCAAGCCATATCCCCTGGACCTCATTTTTCTCCTAAATTAATAGTGTCAGACTCAGTGGTTTCTAAGGTTTCTCCTAGCTCTGATATTATTGGATGATGAATTCATAATTTTAGTTTCTTAGGTAGTGTGACATACAGGTTTTGATAGAAGCACAGTGTTGAATATAAATCAAGGTACTTGGGACAGACTGAGGCAAAAGGACGTGGTTTCTAAATATAGTATTTTAGCTAGTGAGGACATGACTTAGTGGTCAAATGAATATTGTTAGATTTTTGTTTTCATGAGTTTGTTTTGAAAGAATGGCAAACATGGGTTGAGAAACCCCTTTTCTGTCAAGCACTATACAGATCATCAAGTACTCAGATTTTTGTGTATTCTTTGCCCTTACTAGAAAAGTATGAAGTAATTACATGAGTTTTATAAGCTTGGCATATCCCAAGCTGCCAAGTTAAATTATGGCATATTAGTTTTTTAACTTTAAAGTTCTAAGACAGGATGGTATAACTGATATAGTAGTAGTAAGGATGGATTTAAAGTTCTAAGACAGGATGATATAACTGATATAGTAGTAGTAAGGATGGAGGATTTGGCATCAGGCCAACTTATTTACTAGCTGTATTACTTTGGACAGCTTCCTTAATCTCTTTGAGCCTTGTTTTATCTGTAAAATGAATGAAATGGCATTAAAAAAATATCTAGTTTAGTAGTTCTTGGTGAATGAATTATTTTCAAATATAAGGTACTACATTTGATTCTGGACAGAAGAAATATATATAGTTGTAAAAGTAGCCTGTTTTTTTTTTTTTTTTTTTTTTTTTTTTTTTTTTAAAGAGAGAGTGAGAGAGATAGAGGTAGAGAGAGAGAGAATTTTTTAATATTTATTTTTTTAGTATTTGGCAGACACAACATCTTTGTATGTGGTGCTGAGGATCGAACCCGGGCCGCACGCATGCCAGGCGAGCGCGCTACCGCTTGAGCCACATCCCAGCCCAGTAGCCTGTTTTTTATTAGATGATCAAAGAGAACCCAGCAGTCAATTATGGTAACAAGAGTAGAGAATTCACTGAGCAATGGATAGCTGTAGTAACATCCTTACCATAAGAAAGCAGAGCTTAGATAATTAAATATAAGTACAAAAGGATATGAAAAGTATTATTAATAATTGAAGTTGAAGGTGCCCTTAGAGCTCAGGGAATGATCAAGCCATGGTCATCGCAATCATTTTAGCCCTTCTTCTCTAGAGAGCTGGGCTAGTCCAGATTAATGTAAAATCTTTTAGTAGGAGTGTATGTGCAAGTACGTGTGTGTGTGTGTGTGTGTACTTTATAACTTATTTTAGGAATACTGTATACCAAGCAGTTACTTTTTCCTTCCTTCTGGGGAAGTTCAAAACTTTCTGTTGCATTATTCTAAGTTCATCATTTATCCCTTGATAGGTAGGGGCAGAAATCTGGATAATGAGTTTTATAATGTAATTATGCTTTTTAAGAAGCTACATGCTTATGTTTAACTGTGTGACACAAACATGTTTTAGCAATAACTTCCACCTAAATTGCATACATAGGTTAGTGTAGAAACAGTGTGGGTTCCTCTCTCCCCCACTGGGGATCAAACCCAGGGACACTTAACCATTGAGCCACATCTCCATCCCTTTTTTGTATTTTATTTAAAGACAGGAGCTCACTAAGTTGCTTGGGGGTCTCACTAAGTTTTTGACTTTTCACTTTTGCTGTTTAAAATATTTTTATCATGCCAGGCACACGCCTGTAATACCAGTGACTCAGAAGGCTGAGGCAAGAGGATTACAAGTTCAGAGCTTAACCTCAGCAACTTAGTGAGGCCCTAAACAACTCAGCAAGGCCCTGTCTTAAAAAGAACTGGAGATGACTGGAGATATGGCTCAGGGTAGAGCATCCATGGGTTCAATCCCTGGTACCAAAAATAAATAAATAAAATATTTTTTTTCTTTTAGTCCATTCTCAAATATCATAGATTTATTCATGTAACCCTTTCTCACATAAATAAACATATCCTATAAGGAATATACCATGCTGTTTTACTTCACTTCAGAATCAATGTTGCATAATAGCACAACACTATAACTACATTGCTTAGAAAGTTGTTAATGAATAATATATAAAATGATTATATAGTGTTAAACCTCTGAAACTAATTTTCACATTATGTAATAGTTTCAAGCATTAATTCCCCTTTTAAAAATGCTCAGAAAGGAAGTAATAGGTATTTGGATACACTAAGAACTCTTGCTTAAGGTATATGTCTGTAAATGTGATCATTTAATTAGTGAGAAATACTTTTAAATATAGATAGTAGATAAAGTTTCAAGTCTAAAATGTGTTTAGATTTGTATAAAATTTATATAATTAGATAAGTGATTAATATCTTATTTGTCATTTATTTTTATAAATCTCCTTTGAAATTAATTTATTATTATCTCATAGCTACATTTATAAGGTAACATTTATAAGGAATTTATTATTATCTCATAGCTACATTTATAAGGTAAATGGTTGTTTTCTTTTCCTCTGCTTTCGAATTTACAGCAAAAGATGATGGAAGCATTGCTGTTGCCCTTGGTTACACTGCACATTTGGTCTCCATGATTTCCTTTTTCCTACAAGTGCCCCTCAGATATCCTATAATTCATAAGGGGTCTAGATCAACAATCAAAGATAATATCAATGACAAGCTGACTGAAAAGGAGAGAGAGTAAGTGTCTTTTTTTTTTTTTCATGTTTTTAAAATGAAGCCTAGATGAAACATGGGTTATATTAAAAATATAAAATGTGACCTAAATCTGGCAATTTTTATATAAATTTGGTTAAGTGCTCCGTTTCTTTTAGCTTCCAAGATCAGATGAGATCGGACACATGCAGGGTGGTATGGGTGTAGACTCCATTTCTTTTAAATATAATACAGTTATTCATTTAGATTCTAGTGGTTCAAGTCCTATACTTCAAAAAATTGCTGATGTTAGCAAAACTGACTCATTTGCTTTACTTTTGTTGAGGGTCAATCTCTTATACTCTGTAAATATTCACAATACCTGTTGCCTGTCACTCAATAAGTGAAATGATTAAAAGATTTGTCAGAGAGACAAGTAGGAAAAGGATAAAAGGCTTAGCAACACATTGAACATAAGTGAAAAGTAGATCAGTAACTGGAAGATAGGGCAGTAAAAAAATATGAAGAGTGCCTGATTTACAATAATTCAAATGATAATTTTTTGGCTTTACAATGGTGTAAAAAGCAATATTCATGCAGTAGAATCTGTATTTAGAATTTTTAATTCCTAATGTATTCCCAGGCTAGAAATATGCAGTGTGATACTCTCTTGTGTGAGCTGGGCAGCAGCAGTGAGCTGTAGCTGCCAAGCAGCCACAAGATTAAGAGGGTAACAGCTGATATTCTACAGTGTTCTGTATTACTAAGCTGTGATGTTTGGTAGGTGTATTAAATGCATTTTCAATTTGCAGTATTTTTAATTTATGATGGATTTGGTGGAAGATAACATCATTGTAAGTCAAGGAACATCTGTATTCTGACTAAAGCACAAAGAGCAAAAAAGATGGAATATAAAGTGCAAGACATGTAGGACTCAGTAGAAATGTCTAATATATGTGTATTTGTGGTCACAGGGAGGGTGGAAAGAGCACCAGGTAAACACAGTATTTCAAGAGATAATGATTGAGAATATTTCAAATTTAACCAAAGAAATCAGTTTACAAAAATCAGTTTTCATAAAACACTAAATATAAAACATAATAACGATCAAGAAAACATACATAGGAATATTTAAACAGCTGAAAACACAAGACAAAATGAAAATATTAAAAGCAACTAAAAAGAAAAAGACATGCTATTACCAAAAGGTTTATAATAAGACCAATAGCTACATTCTCAGAAGAAATAAGGTACAAAGGTGATACAATGACATCTTAAAGTATTAAAAGAAAATCATTGCCAACTTATAATTCTATACACAGTGTAGACTAAACGATATACTGAAGTGTAGACTAAACGATATACTGACGAAAAACCAGAAAAACGGACATGCAAGAAGGAACAAAGCAACAAAAAGTATAAATACAAGTATATTGAAATTAATTTTGAGTATGAAACAAATTAGTAATGTCTTATTGAATATAAGACACCCATACACAAAGTGTATATAGAATCATTATAATGCATGATTCTAAGACAAAAGATAAGATGGAGTAAAATGGAATTAAAGTACTCTAATATTCTAGCTTTCCTTAGACAGTGGCAAAGATAGTAATTTGTTATACTCTGATAAATCAAGGATGCATGTTGTAATCTCATAACCACTAAAAGAGTTGTTTTGTGCAAGCAAAATTTTGTAAAGGAGATAAATTGATACTTGATTTATTAATGGAAGGCAAGAAAAGAAAAAAAGTGAACATTAAATAAAAAAACATGATTTATGTTTCTGCGATATAAGTGGAAAACAAATAGTAAATTTGCAGGTATAAACCGAAATTTATCATGTAATTACCTTAAATGAAAATGATATTGATATTCTTAAAAATGTTGTCACACTAAATAAAAAAGTAAACTTATCCTGCTTTCAAGAGTATTGAAATATTGAAAAAAATATTGAAAGAAATATTATCCAAATGAGAGCTAATATAATTATACAAATATTAGACAAAGTAAAATTTAAGGAATTTAAATAATGTGGGGCATTTTATGACAGTACAGTCAATTCTAAATATTTATATTTATCTGTCTAAAAATATAACTTGAAATATAGACAAAAATTCACAACTACAAGGAAATCTAATGGTAGAGGACTTTAAATTTTCTTTCATTAACTATTATTAGAAAGAAGCAGGCAAAAATTAATATTTTAAAAATTTGAACAGTACAATTACTAAAGTAGACCTAGCATGTATAAAGAATATTGCAACAGACGGTTTTAGGATACATTTTCCTGGCACACATGGCACATATGCCAAAAATGGTTATTCTGGGTCTCAAAACATTTCAAATAAAAGGAAATTTTAAACTGAATGACAATGAGAATATAGCATGTCAAAGTTGTAAGGTGTAGATCATTTAATTCTCTATCTAAAGCCACATAAGAACAGTCAAAGTAGCGCTTGAAAAGTAAAAGGAAGCAAATAATAAAGATGAAACTGGAAATTAAATGAATAATTGTGCAATGGGGAAAATAGTAAAGGCAAAAGTTCTAGACCCAAAGTCAACTAGATTGATAAGTCCTTTAAGAGAATTAATTTAGAAACCGAAGAGACAAGGCAAAATGACCAGTATGAGAATGAAAAAAAGAACAACACTAGAGAAAATAGACAGGTATTTAAAATTAAAGTAAATGGCTAAATTTCTAGAAAAACACTAAATTTCTAGATTTATGCTGGTGTGTGAATAACTGGAATTTAGAAAACACCACACTAGGCTAAAGGGAAAAGGGATATAGAATAACCTAAGACCTTATTCTCATCACTGGCTGCACATTAAAGTCATCTGGGAAGCTTCTAAAAATGATCTGATCCCCAGATTCCTGGCCTTTCCCCAGAAATTGTGATCCAGTATAGGGATTTTAGGTATTTTTTAAAAACTTCTGAAGTGATTCTACTGTGCAGTTAGGGTTAAGAATTACATTTTATATTGAAAGAATGTTTTGTTCATGGCATAAAGAAATGAAATCTTTAAGCGTTACTTAGGAAAGTGCTAGTTAGAAGGAAAGTGGAGGGATGGAAAGAGGAATGGGTAGGCACCTGTGGAGGAAATGAGTACTAGAGTACTACCGTCCACCCTTGGTATCTATGGATTCTGCATCCAGGAATTCCACCAAAATTAGACTAGAAATAAGCCACGGAGAAATATGTCTGTACTAAATAATACCATATAGCAACTATTTATATAGCAGTAACATTGCATTAGGTATTATAAATAATTTGGAGATTATTTAAAGTATATAGAAGGTTGTGCATATGTTATATGCAAATACAATGCCATTTTATAAAGAGACTTGAAAATCTCAGATTTTGGTATCCACAAAAGGGGGTGGGAGCCAGTCTTCTGAGAGATTAAGGAATAAATCCATATCTGGTCTACCAAGGCTCTCAGCTAAGAAGCACATGTATAGTTTAAATCAGTGCCTTTTTCAGTGTTGTGATTGATTTTGAGCCCAGTGTTCTTTTCAGTTTCAAAAACAAATAAAACTGAGGACCTGAATTTATTGTCTTTCATTTTTTAAAAGTGGAGACAAGATTCACATAACGTAAAATTAAAGATTTTATAAAGTATATAATTTAGTGGCATTTAGTACTTTCACAGTATTGTGCAACCTCTGTCTAATTCTAAGACAATTTTATCACTCCAAAGGAAAACCCTGTATCCATTAAGCAGTTACTCCCTAATCCCTAGCCTTCCATCAGCCCCTGGCAACCACCATTCTGCTTTCTGTCTCTCTGTATTTTCCTATTCTAGATATTTTGTATACATGGAATCATACAATATGTGACCTTTTTGTTTCTGGCTTCTTTCAGTTAGTATTTAATGTTTTCAAGATGCATCCATGATGTAGCCTAATCAGTACTTCATTCATTTTTATAGTCAAATAATCTTCCATTCAGTGTGTATACATTTGTTTATTCATTCATCTCTTGATGGACATTTGGGTTATTTCCACCTTTTGACTATTGTGAATACTATTGCTGTTGCTATGAGTGTTTACATACAGTTGTTTGAGTACCTATTTTCAATTCTTTTGAGTATATGCCTACTAATGAAATTGCTGAGTCATACAGCAATTTTGTATTTAACTTTTTGAGGAATCATTAAACTGTTTTCCTAGCAGTTGTACCATTTTGTATTTCCAGATGTGATGCGGTATCTTTTGTTCTGTTTTTATTTATATTATTGAATAATGATGTTTGTAGCTTTTCACATGCTTACTGGATGTTCAGATATCTTCTTTGGAGAAATCTCTGTTCAAATCTTTTGTCCATTTTTTAATTGGTTTGTCTCTTTTTTGTTGATGAGTGGTTAGGCATCTTTATGTATTCTTAATATTAGGCCCTTATCAGATGTATGATTTGCAAATATTTTCTCCCATTCTCTTGGGTTTTGTTACAGTTTAAGGCCTAAAATGAAGGTATTACATACTGCCTTGATGTCTGGTGAAACTGTGAGGACTTCTGAAAGGCCTTGCATTTCAATTCCCCTGCTAGCTAGGAAATCACTGAAATACACCAATCACATCCTCCTGCTGGAAGCAGGGGTAATCTCTACTTTTGATACTATAAAGCTTGTCTGTCTAGCAATGAAAGAGAATAAAATCATGGCATTTGCAGGTAAATGGATGGAGCTGGAGAATATAATGCTAAGTGAAGTTAGCCAATCCCAAAAAACCAAATGCTGAATGTTTTCTCTGATATAAGGAGGCTGATTCATAGTGGGGTTGGGAAGGGGGTGCATGGGAAGATTAGACGAACTCTAGATAAGGCATAGGGGTAAGAGGGGAACGGAGGGGGCACGGGGGTAGAAATGAGGGTGGAATGAATCGGACATCATTATCCTAAGAACATGTATGAAGACACAAATGGTGTGAATATACTTTGTATACAATCAGAGATATGAAAAATTGTGCTTTATATGTATAATATGAATTGTAATGCATTCTGCTGTCATATATAACAAATTAAAATTTTAAAAGCTGGTCT